GCTCTAGAAACATTTTCTTTTGTTAAAAATATTCTTTTTTATTTGTACTTTACCATATGTTTATATGAGAATCAGGCAGTGTTTGTCCTTAGCGAACTACTAGCGCTGCTAGTGAGTGATTTTTCGTACTTCAGCAAAAAGGTTCATTGAGTTTCAATAAATATTTCACACGATTCTCTGAATTGTCATAACTTTTTCATTCATGAACCTCTGAATCGATGAAAGAGCTCACCAAAATTATGGCCACCCTCCATCACAAAGCAAAATATGTAATTCATTATCGTGCCCTCAAACAAGCCATTGCTAAGGGTCTTGTTATCTCGAAAATTCATCGACTGATTTAATTTAACCAATCACCATGGTTGAAATCCTGTATTGATCTGAATACAGAGTTGTCGAAAGAGGCTACGAATGAGTTTGAGAAAAACCTCTTTAAGCTCATGAACAATGCAGTATTCGAAAATATGATTTATAAAATATGCAATCTGAATCCTTATGAAATGAGATCGTTACAAATTCTTCGGTACTTCGGATTATCCTTTCAACAATCAGTTCAGCGTTCCTTTGGTGAATAAAAAGTTCCCGGTCTGATGGAAGATGATAATAACGCAGCGGTAGCAGTTGGTAAATGATGGGCTATGATGATGATGGAATTAATCAAATCATCTCATGCTTTGCCAAAAAGGCAAAGGGGGTCAAATCTTCTGTGGTGAAGAATGAAATTACGTTCGATGATCATGTGAGTTGCTTAGATAATTGGACGAATATGAGTGTCACCCAAAATTTGCTTCGATCCGATAAATATTAAGAACATTCCATCGCCCAATAAAAGATTGCTCTCAGCCCTGACGATGATATACGTTATATAATTTCAGATTTACACGATACGCTTTGTTAGGGTCACTATTCAATCCCTCAACCGTCAAATGCTATGGATATTGACGATTAACTCCTTTTAATGGTTATTTCATCACACAGGTTTCTCAGATTCTTAGGAAGGGTTATTTATATGAATCTAAAATTAGTATACTCGAGTAAAAATCTTTTGAACGAAAAAAATAAAATTTTACTCTGCGACGCACTGGCCAACTATGTTGGTACTGTTTATGGTCCAGGTCTCTTGAAATCTGACAGGCAGAGACTTCAAAAACGGCAGAAATCATGCATAAGACTCGTCACAGGCGTAAGGAGATGTGAGCATGTGTCTCAATACATGGAACAACTCGGGTGGCTGAACTTGGCTGAACACTGAATTCTGCTAGTTTATTCCATAAGGTCATATCCAATGGGAAACTTGCCTACTCATTCACGAAACTGTCCTTTAGAACCGATATACATAATCTAAATTTGAGATTTAAACATCTTTTGACTGCACCTAAACATAAAACTTCTCTTTTTCGAGGATCTTGTTCTTATAACATTGCACGCTCATATAATGGGCTACCCATTGAATTGAAATACCTACCACTACCTTGTTTCAAAAAAAATCTGAAGGAATTTATGCTACAATTCGGTTCTCTTTTTTCATAACATTGATCAGTTGACACCTATACATAATATGTTTTACCATAAATATGTAGAAATCATCAAATTTACCATTATGTGTGTGACATGATTTTTCATATATAGAACATCAAATTCTCATTTATTTGTTTTTGCCTCTTTTTTCTGCTTTTCTTTCTTTTTCTTCTGTTTCTCTCCCTTTTTTTTCTTCTCTAGTTTTAATTAAGTTCAACTGCAAATAATGTGTATTAATATAAGTTATCTTTTACCGGTTGGATGGAAGAGCAATTTCTGCCTTGATTTATCAAGGCGCATACGTTGAATTCTGCCATTTGTTAGGTTAGATTAGTATCTCTTATACTGAGTAACCTTTTAGTAAAATAATTTATTATTATTATCATTAGTGAATCGGTTTTGAAAATTACGTGTTTTTCGCTACGATTGAAGTGACAAAAAGGATCGTTTCAGAGCGTTATATTCTTTTGAAATTTTTCATGTGATTTTCATGACAGAAATGACCCCTTCATAGTATAATACACCACTTCTCTTTTTATTATCTTGACATCACCTTACCTAATCGCTGGATTGGACATGTGGACGTCAAAATTGGCTAGCCCGCAGTCGTGATTTGAGTTCTCTAGATTTTTATTTATAGGGTCATCTGAAAGCTCTTGTTTATAAAACTCCTGTGATAGATGTGAATGACTTGAGGAATCGAATAATGCCATGTCATAAGGAATACTCCGGGGTTTTTTGGAATGTGTCACACAATCAATGACGAATCGAATGCAGTCGTGTATCTTATTGAAAAGTGGATATTCAGCTTTCTTACTTTGAGCTCAAGCTTTACTTTTAGTCTACCATCAACTACACACAACTTCACGCCAACCCAGCCAGGTTAGTGTTGACAGTATGATGGTGAAAACTTTATGGCCCCTTCTAGTTTGATTATGATTCAGACTGCTGCTCTTGAATTTCACTTATAGTTGTTCATACTTTAATAACTTCTAATTTAAAAATTTTTCAAAGATTCTTTTGAATTTGCAATTCAGTATAATACTTTTCATGATAACATCAATACAAATATTGTAAACAACAATGTTCCTCAAATGACATTTCATTTTCCGTTATCTCATCTAGGTAGTGTTTCACATAATCTCAAAAAAAATTCAGTGAATTTGAACACAAGAAATTAGCTTTCAGAAATTTGAAGAATATTGAGACATTTTTTCCAAATTAAAAGACGAAAAAGATAATAATATCATTAACTCATCCAATGTGGTTCATTCCATCCCTTGTTTTGAGAAGATTCATATAGGACAAACGAGTAGAGAATTAAAAAACAGAATCACTTCACACACGACTGACATAAAAAGCAATAAACTATCATGCACCCTTCCTAAACCCACCAATGAATCAGATCATGGCTTTATTTTGGAAATGTTCAAATTTCAGATTGAGAAAATAATAGTCAAAAAAGAACTTTCTTAGAATTGTGTCATTTATTCAAATATTCAAATACTATCAATTCTAGAACAGACATTGAAAGTTTAAGCCTGATTCACACTTATCTCCTTTGCTTAAAGAAAGATAATGAATTTGATAACAATTTATAATTCCGTAATAGAATAGTCTGTGAGATTTCATTGATCTGCAATGGTCAACAAATCAGTTTATTCGGAAATTTCAAAAAATGCCAAAGAAATAAGTTACTCAGTTTCCAATTTCATATCCTTGCTCGAAATTTGGACTCCCTACTGTCACTTCGACTATTTTCCAATTATTTTGATTTTTCGAATCACTATACATTATATCTATTAATGAAAAAAATCCCATGAGTCCCGATCTTGTTACACTGTATATATACATAATATCGCCACCTGCAGACAATTTCCGAAAACAACTTCATAAACACATACTTCGCAAATTCCAGATAGGTGCATATGACATGCCCCAATTCAGGTGGAAAACACTTTACCCCTTGCCTATCATGTGAACCCACTTCTTTATAGGTACGTGTGGCAGATTCCGAAAAATATTTATTCATCATTCTGACTCCTACCCCGCAGTATGTGTTTGTAGAGTTCGTTTCCGGACTTTGTCTATAGCTATAGATGGCGCACTGGTACATCCTACTGAATCAACTGCATAGAGCTTATTATTAGTTAGGCTTAATTTTAACGTTTGTTTGAAGGTGGCTGACAATGTTTTGTGATGCATTTCGTTAGTTCGGACGTCCATTGTCTAATATAATATAAATTGATTTTAAATCCTTGAAAGAATCTGTAAAAAATTAAAAACTATCGGCCAAAAAATAACAATTATATCAAGCAAAAAAACTGAAATTACAATGAAATGAAATACAAGCAACAACCTGGTTGAAATACGTGGACGACACCTTCATAATATGGATCATGGGAATGCGGAATTGGACATCTTTCTGAAGCACATTAACAATGCAAGTCCGTCCATCACTTTCACAATGGAGAAGGAACTCCACAACGAATTGCCATTCTCAGCAGTATTGGTGAAGAGAACCGACACTGAATGGGAAACATCTATACCCACTCACACGGGATAATATCCGAACCAGGAATCCAACCACCATCAATCGACTTAAGAGAGAAATCATCAAGACTCTAGTAAACTGTGCTTTCGGGCTCTGTAAAACAAATAAAGGTCTCGAAAAGGAACTAGGCATCATCAAAAATGACCTTCAACGGAATGGTTACTCCAAAGTGAATGTGGAACAGATTTTAGCTAGAAGACAGCAAGAGGCTCACAAGGAAGAGAAGCCACCACAACCAGTACTGTTACTTCCCCACATCAGAGAATTGTCGAAAAGGATTAGAAGAATTAAATCCTAGTATAACATCAGAACCTGCTTCAGATCTGGGAACACTATCCGTAGCAGCCTCACGAAAACCAGGCCACTGAACGCGAACTGCGATTTCAAGAATTGCATTTACCGGATACCCTGATAAGTCCAGTTATCACCGAAGACGATTGTGAATCGAAACGTCGTGAACTAACTCGGTTTGGAATCTTTAAATTTTTTAAATATTTTTTTTAATCTCCATCTTGTGCTAATAGTTAAATTTTTTAATTTTTTGGTTGTTGCTTGTATTCTATTCCCCTGTAATTTCAGTTTTTTTGCTTGCTATAATTGTTCTTTTGCAGCTAATCTTTTTGATTTTTCACAGATTCTTTCAGGGATTTCAAATCAATTTATATCATATTAGACAATGGAAGTCCGAACTAATGAAATGTAGACTTAATTTTGTTTATTTGGGATACTTCGACGGTTAACTCCATCTGAAATGATCCTCCCGATACTGACGAGAAGCTAGTACTCCGAAACTGGTTCTATCAGTGATCTTGTCGAACGTATATTTCCTCTCCATAGTAAACTTTCCATTTCAAAAATATAATTGAAATGTTGAATGAACGCCTATAATTTTACGCAGGAAATCAAATTAATCAATTCATTTTTTCAGACTGAATCGGATGGTAATGGACTTCCATCACTCACACTCCCCAGTATCAGTGAGGATGACGAGAACGTTAACGAAGAAGCACCGACAGCACTTTCATCACCTAATAAGTCACCAATGCACGCCTTGAATAATAGTAGTCCAAGGCAAGGAAAATTCAATATGAAGTAAGAAAATAATATATAAACTTGGTGATATTTGATTTGGAAATATGGTTTTTTATTTTGAGATATAATAATTATATTATACTAGTACTATGTTACTGTATCGCTGCTGTTCCAATGTTTTGACTGAATCAGAATCAACGAACTTAAGCGTGCGCAGCGTTATAGAACAGTGCTTTCAAAAAATTGTTCTACAGCGCCATCTGGTGGCGAGTTACAGAAAAATTGATAGCCTAAAAATCTTCTCTATGAAAAATTACTCATACATATCAAGTTTCATCACCATCGGTTGAGCGATGTAGAAGTTTATCACTTACCAACCAACCAACCAACCAACAAACATTTATTTTTACATATATATAGTTTTCAAATAGGAAGTGAAAACAAGAAATGTCTCAGGAAACAGTTCACAAGGAAGGTGAGGAATTATTCCCTTTGTTTATTATCAAAACACACCATGATTTATCTCACCACCTAGGACAATCCCACTGATCTAGCATTATCATCACCCTGTTTCATATTCCACAAGAGCAGACATCTTTGGAACTTCGCATCCCGAGTCAGTTAGATTTTGTAATTTTTGGTTACAACAGTTATAATTTCATGTATTTGGTATTTCTATAATTTTTGATTTTTGTAACAATAAAAGTATTTTTAAAAAGCAAGTTTAGTGACGTTGATAGTTACGCGTATCGTAAGAGTAATTTTTGTTTCAATGATTAATTGGCAATCGAACCTTTGTAAACAGAACAAGTTGATGTTAGAAGCAGACAGGCACCTAGAACTTCAGGAAACCTGCAGAAATCTCCGCACCGAGGCTGTTTTCGAGAAGGAGAACTTCATCGTCCCATTACACTAGAAAGAAACACTTGGTGAAGACAAAATCGCTAAATCAGGGCAGACTCCTTATAGTGATTGACAAGGAGATGGCGAAAATTTTGTTTTTATTGTGAATACTGTAATTTTATGTCGCTCAAAAATATTTTTCAATCGTTGTCTTGAACTGACTCAGACAATTATATTTTCAACCCAAATCCAAGAACCAATCAAATCGACAGGACATTGAAAATTCCATTCTTTTCTTTTTCGACGTGAAACTAATATTCAGGCCAATGAAAACTATTAAAAGGAGACTTAGTTCAGCTTAGGACCCCAGAAAGTCTTTAGAAATACCTGTGGTATATCGTGGAAACACGAAAAGAAGCGTAGATACCGTCTCTCTGAACATAATAGGAATTGTCGCCTCGGACAAACCGACGAATTAACTGTAGCCGAACACGGTCTCAAAGAAGTCACCCACATCATCTCATTCAAAGATACAGTAATACTCGATATAGCTCAAACATATCTTACGCAAGCGAAACCAACATTATTTGAGAAATAGATAGAACAGAGTAAGAATCCAAAAAAACTCAGCTCAACATGAAATTCGGAATCCCACACGAAACGGTGGTTGTCCCTCCTCTGTTCACTAATGATACAGCAATACTTTATCTTTCAAATAATAATAGTAATAATGATTTTCTCTTCGACTCCGCAGACTCTATCCAGACCACTCTGTCGAGATGGTTGTTCTGATTATTGGCTCACTGCGCTTGCTCATGGCACATGATTCTCGGACCCAATGAGCACTTACCCTACGGTGTGGCGAGTGGTCGTTGGTTGATAATGCTGGCGCGCCCTCCCGAATGTATCGGTGCTTCGGGGTATAGAGCCTGACACTACGGTGAAAAAAGAATAAGTTCATTTTCACCAATGAAGCAATCACTTACCTAATCAGAAATATGGTCTTTCACTATCTATGCTACCTCTATGCTATCTGGACAGCATTACAAAAGTGAATCATCATAGTAAGTGCGTAGTGAAAAAAACTGAGATTACGTGTCTAATTATTCAGTTTTTTTGAAATAACTTTCGATTGTAACCAACTACGAGTTCGTTATAATGACTTAGTGAAAACATATTTGTATTATGGAATGAAAGCATAGGAAGATTTCGTAGAAATATGTTGGAAACAATTCAGAGTATGAATTGAAGGGGTTATATTTTTTAGGAGTGATTAATTTTTGGGAAAGAAAGTTTTTGGTTTTCTACTACTCCATCTTGATACAAAAAAAAGAAGGATGAGGGAGTCTTCCAAAGAAAGGAAGGAAGTAACTCTATACATGTAAAGTAACACTCTATTCAGTGTTCATATAGAAGTATTTGTTTCGAAAGAATTTTTTCTAATAATTCAATGTTTATATGAAAGTAGCTGTTTCAGGAGGACTTTCTTTCAGTTTGTGTCTGAAAGTTACTTCTTTGCATGATCTACAGATCCATGTATAGAGTTACTTCCTTCTTTTCTTTGGAAGACTCCCTCATCCTTCTTTTTTTGTATCAAGATGGAGTAGTAGAAAGCCAAAAACTTTCTTTCCCAAAAATTCAGAGTACTTCAAAAACAGAAAATCTACTGCAAAATCAGTAGACCTGGCAACACTAAAGATAGCACTCATCCTGTGCGATTTCTTCTTCATCTTCAGTGAATGGTTTTGAAATCTTTTGAAGTCTAATTTGAATAAAGTTTCGTTGGGAATGATGAGGTCTTTCTATTTGTGGCATTGTGATTGAAAATGAAATGGATAATGCTGATTTTGCTTTCATTATGACGTAACAAGTACCATCCATTTATGTTCGCACAATCACAAATATCATAACCTAATTTTTTTGCGCACTATGACCACTGGAATAACCTAATAAAGTCGTCAATTTATTTGATTTATATTCGTTATATTTTTTTTTGAATGTTTCTAGTTATTCTGCTATTTCAAGTGGGGGCATCAAGAAAATGTTGGGATTTGTCTCTTTTCTATAGATACTTCAACGGGATGTGTTCAAATGATTTGGCACATTTGATGCCACCAAGAGTAGTACAAATTAGAAATACTTGACGGACTGTTGCTGCTCATCTTTTTGAAGTTCAACTAAGTACACCTCGAACTTCACTGTTTAAGAACTCTTCCATTTGGAAAACTGCGTTTATGTGAAATAAACTTCCCGAGAAAGTTTTTCCAACTGGATTCAATCATTCTCTTAATACACTGCTTCACTCGTGATGTAAAAAAAGTATTTTCATCTCATACCAGTGTAATACCTGGCAAACGCTCTGTATGGTAATATACATGTGTTAGGAATCACACGTTGAAAGGTAAGACCTCGTTGATCCTTAGCTCGCACAAGTTTCGACTTCTGAGTGTTGTCGTTCGTAGGGGTGTCACAGCTGGTTGACGGAAAAACAGATTTTGAACAGATTTAAACAGATTTCAACATTCTAACTTCGGGAAGAGACAGATTTCTTCAAACGCCAGTTCTGTGTCTCACACAATGTAACATCATAGCCAGACCGAGAGAGTGTTTATATAAAAAAAAAAATCATCGGTGTGTTTTGGAAATATGTACAGTCAGATACATTTGTCACGTAGCTGAAAACCTCCAAAGATGTAGATATGGGCACATCAATATACAGGTCTTGAAATCGTGAGTTTTGTCAATTCATCGAAATAGGTTTTCTGGTGATCTCCGTCGCATGTGGACGACTGTTAGAAAGAACGGTTTGAGAAACGAGGGGGACGAAGCACTCGTTATTTGTTCCTGGCTTTTTGAAAAGCAGAAAAGACATAAGGTTCGGGGAGTCTTGGGATAACCACTAAGAGGGAAGGACACGAAAGCCCGTGGAGGTTGGTTCGGGGGTGTCATTCCTCAGCCTTCAAGGCTTTGAATAGTGGCCTGAATAGGAATGTTATTTCATTTCTGAGCACGGGATGCGAAATTTAAAGAAAATCACTAGCGACATTGTGAGCTGGTATTGGGTACAGGGAAGTTGAAAGTGTTGGACATACCGGGTCAACGAAACCTATGGTTGACCATGAACCACCAAAGAGGCGATATTATGTGAGTGTGTTTTTATATAGTATCCAGTTGATATTGGGAGAGAGAGATAATGCACATATAATTTTGTCTGAGTTGATATAACTTGTTGGGTTTCTAGTGTGGGTTGTTTATCTAGAGTTCAGATTAGAAATAAAAAAGAAAGCGAATTTAAGGTTATACACCACTCTCCCTAGGGTGAAAGTGAAACTGTAAGTATTTTGTACACATTGTATTTTATATTTGAAAGCTCAGACTTTCATTATCTCTTCCACTGAGAAAAATACCATCCTCGTAGAGTATAAAGTTGAGAAAACAAAAATAATTAGGTACTTCTTAATCAATCTATCGGAAAGAGAATAGTAAGTGGAGAGTATTTTAACTAAGAATAAAATTCAGTAGAATATTCGGCATCGTTCTGGAACCATATAATGTGAGAAAACTACAAGTATGCATACCATATGATCAGGTTTCAAGCCTTTTTTCGGAATTGCCTGACATCCAAAATTTGATGTGGAAAAATACGCAGCTGGTGACAGCAGCTGCCAAAATTGATTTAAAAAGAATAAATAAACCAGAAAGGAGCATTTATTAATCACACTGGTGACAGCTGAGTGGGATTTCACGGGGATTTCTCGATTAAGAAATTCAATTTTACTGTTCAGACCTTCTTTTGTAAGTTATTAGACAAGTCCCATCCTAACTTCCAGGGCTTCTTTGAAATATATCGAGACACATAGTTTCATTATAATTACTGCTGTTTTTCAAGTGCGTCAGTCAATAGCCGAACCGTCACAAAACATCACAAGAGGCTGTTAACCAAGATCAGTTGATGATATAAGAAGCGAGGAAACAGAATGGCGTACACACACAATTAATCAACAAAGGATATGCTTTGGGGCGGCCGGCCGCCCCTACGAACTACTAGCTAGCCACCAAATAATGTACTGAGTTGGGGAACTATTCCCTCAGAATCACTTTATAGTTCTTTGGCCGCATGCTTCGGTGGCAAGGGATGTTATTGTTGGCTATAATGACCTCGAGTTGGAATACAGGCAGTGGTGGAGTGTGGAGTCGTTGGCGTTTATCTGAAAAAC